ATATTTTGAAGAATGTTGGTAACCAAACAGTTTATGGTTTACAGTAGCCACAGTATGCAAAAATACAATGGCTACCATCAACTGTTTGGTTACCTACACTCTTCAAAATATATTTTTCTGTGCTCAAACACTCATACAGGTTTGGAACAACTTGATGTAAGGAAATGATGACAATTTAAATTTTTTGGCCAAATGAAGCCTTTAAGTTTTCTGTAACATTATGTTCACATATGCAAACGTTGCATTATCTAATTAAATATGCACTCATTTGCATATATTTCCAGAATAATAAACTGAACATTGCATAAAGCCTGGTCCAATTTTTTTTTTACATATTAGAGTTAAAGGCTTTTACTGAGGGGATCTCTCTTTTAATCGCTCCATAAATCACAAAATACCGCCAGAAAAAAACCACCATATTTAGAGGTTACAGTGGGTACGGAAAGTATTCAGACCCCCTTAAATTTTTCACTTTTTGTTATATTGCAGCCATTTGCTAAAATCATTTAAGTTAATTTTTTTTCCTCATTAATGTACACATAGCACCCCATATTGACAGAAAAACACAGAATTGTTGACATTTTTGCAGATTTATTAAAAAAGAAAAACTGAAATATCACATGGTCTTAAGTATTCAGACCCTTTGCTGTGACACTCATATATTTAACTCAGGTGCTGTCCATTTGTTCTGATCATCCTTGAGATGGTTCTACACCTTCATTTGAGTCCAGCTGTGTTTGATTATACTGATTGGACTTGATTAGGAAAGCCACACACCTGTCTATATAAGACCTTACAGCTCACAGTGCATGTCAGAGCAAATGAGAATCATGAGGTCAAAGGAATTGCCTGAAGAGCTCAGAGACAGAATTGTGGCAAGGCACAGATCTGGCCAAGGTTACAAAAAACTTTCTGCTGCACTTAAGGTTCCTAAGAGCACGGTGGCCTCCATAATCCTTAAATGGAAGACGTTTGGGATGACCAGAACCCTTCCTAGAGCTGGCTGTCCGGCCAAACTGAGCTATCGGGGGAGAAGAGCCTTGGTGAGAGAGGTAAAGAAGAACCCAAAGATCACTGTGGCTGAGCTCCAGAGATGCAGTCGGGAGATGGGAGAAAGTTGTAGAAAGTCAACCATCACTGCAGCCCTCCACCAGTCGGGGCTTTATGGCAGAGTGGCCCGACGGAAGCCTCTCCTCAGTTCAAGACACATGAAAGCCCGCATGGAGTTTGCTAAAAAACATCTGAAGGACTCCAAGATGGTGAGAAATAAGATTCTCTGGTCTGATGAGACCAAGATAGAACTTTTTGGCCTTAATTCTAAGCGGTATGTGTGGAGAAAACCAGGCACCTGTCCAATACAGTCCCAACAGTGAAGCATGGTGGTGGCAGCATCATGCTGTGGGGGTGTTTTTCAGCTGCAGGGACAGGACGACTGGTTGCAATTGAGGGAAAGATGAATGCGGCCAAGTACAGGGATATCCTGGATGAAAACCTTCTCCAGAGTGCTCAGGACCTCAGACTGGAACTAAGGTTTACCTTCCAACAAGACAATGACCCTAAGCACACAGCTAAAATAACGAAGGAGTGGCTTCACAACAACTCTGTGACTGTTCTTGAATGGCCCAGCCAGAGCCCTGACTTAAACCCAATTGAGCATCTCTGGAGAGACCTAAAAATGGCTGTCCACCAACGTTTACCATCCAACCTGGCAGAACTGGAGAGGATCTGCAAGGAGGAATGAGAGGATCCCCAAATCCAGGTGTGATAAACTTGTTGCATCTTTCCCAAAAAGTCTCATGGCTGTATTAGATCAAAAGGGTGCTTCTGCTAAATACTGAGCAAAGGGTCTGAATACTGTGACCATGTGATATTTCAGTTTTTCTTTTTAATAAATCTGCAAAAATGTCAACAATTCTGTGTTTTTCTGTCAATATGGGGTGCTGTGTGTACATTAATGAGGAAAAAAAATTAACTTAAATGATTTTAGCAAATGGCTGCAATATAACAAAGAGTGAAAAATTTAAGGGGGTCTGAATACTTTCCGTACCCACTGTATATATATATATTTTTTTTTTTTCATATCCACTTATAAAATTACATTATTTAGCTATTTTGAACAGACCAACTTAACCAACTTAAATTAAAACTCGTACTGTAAGTGACTGATTTAGAATAAAAATACTGTACATAGCACACATATAAATAATCAATAAATAGTCCATATTTAAACATTATTAATGATTTTTGTATAGAATGAATTATGTTTATAGTTGCTGACATTTCTTTTGCTTAATTGGCCATTTTAGATGGATTGATGCTTGTTGAAATGCATTATGGGATTGCCTTCATCACAACAGCCAAAAGAAGGTATCTTACCTTTTGGAACAGCCTTTGCGTTGGGAAAGCTGCCTACATTGGCAGTCCACTTGGTTTTGGGACAAAGCCATAGTGTCACTCGCAGCATCATATACGAGATGAGCCAGACTCCATCTCTCGCTGAAATGCAACATGGCACAAAAACGTAAAGAAAAGCCACATTGATTTTTTTTGCTCATATTGTTGTTTTAGTGGCTTAATGCGACAAACATATGACAAAATATGTCTTCCCATGATAAATTTTCCACTAAAAAGTTGTTAAAATGAATGTGATTAATGACGGATATCATTGATTACATCAGCAAGTGACAGTCTATAGTTCTTAATTTGTGATCTAAGATGTATTGGGTTGCAAAATGGCTAGTAACTGAATTTGGCAATTATTTAAGTTTGTTTTGCTGGTGATATGAGGGTATTAACCCCATTAACAGGTGTATTTATCACACATGATGTATTAAATCCACATCTGAAAGTATAAAGCAAATAGTGCTCGGATAGTCATGTTTGCATGATGGCCATCGTTATGTAGAATAAAATAACTTTTTCTAATCCACTGATGTGAAGTCTTTACAGTATGTCATGTGAATGAACAACTTTTGAACATGTTTGCCAAAAATACTATTTCTGTTAGATATTATTAGATATTTTTATTAGAATGGCTTCATCTGTGGCTATCTTTAAGTCTAAATGAAAAACGTATCTGTTCAATAAGGCTTTTAATTCTGGTTGAAGCACTCTTTATCCTTGTCCTATATTTTTGCTGCATGTTATGATGTTTTTCTTTCCTTTTTCTCTCCTTGTTCTTGGTTTTACTGTTTTTATTTTTCATTGTGTTTTTGCTGTTTTTAGTTATTCTGTTGTAAAGCACATTGGTCAACTCTGGTTGTAGTAAACAGTGCTATATAAATAAAATTGCCATTGCCATATTAAAAGTGGGGTAAAATACTTCACTAAAATGCAAATTCACTAAAATTAAATAAAATTCATTTTCATTATTGGGTGATTTATTCCTTTAATAATAAGCATACAATGTTATTTAGTATTATTTATATGCTATGAAGCCTATTTTGAATAGGCTTTTACTTTTATATTTTCATTTTTATTTTAGTTGAAGTTTTAGTAATTTTCTTATGTGCTCTTGTAATTTTTTTTATTAATTTTTTATATTTCTATTTACCTTTAATTTATTTTTATTTCAGTTTTAGTAATTTTAAAATTTAGTAATTAGTCATTTTAGTAACTTATTACTTATTTTAAATTATTTTTTATTCAGTTTGTTATCAAGGCAACATTTCTCATTTCTCATTTTTTTGTCTAATATTTATTATTTTTTATTATTTTATTTTATTTCAGTTAACAAAAACGGACCCACTTTATATTAAGCGGCCTTAACAACTATGTACTTACATTTAAATTAATCATTTGGTACAATGCACTTATTGTGTACATACATGTTTTTACATTGTACTTATATTTTAAAAATACCTGCGTGTAATTACATATGTAATTAATTTCTGTAATTACATTTATAATTACACTGTTGATCCATCCCTTACACCTTAACCCACCCTTAAACCTACCCATACCACCAAACCTGTCCCTAACCTTACCCGTATCCCACCTCAATAGCAGCAAAAGTGTTTTGCAATACAATATGAACACAATAAGTACATTGTACTTATTTTTTGATGTAAGTACATAGTAGTTAAGGCCACTTAATATAAAGTGGGACCACAAAAACTATTTTAAATAGTTTAGTTAACAATACACTATACACTATATGACACTATAAAATAAAAGACTTTTCAAATCTAATCAAATTTCTACAATCAGCTCAAATGTAATCAGAATTGTAAATGTAAATCAAATTTATGTAAACCTGATTGATATCCTCCGACTGAAGCTTAAAAAAAAAATGTCTGTGAGTCTGTGCCCGTCATACACTATGAAAAATATCTGACTGCTTAAAATCTGCAGACTGGCTCAGACTTTCGGCAACAACAAGCATTGACTCGTCCAAACTGCAAATCAGGGCAAAAATCTGTGCAAACATCATTGTTTTCCAGCCTGCTGTTATCTGCATTACATGTATTACATTATCTGCTGTTGGTTGTGATACTTTGCTCTGGCTCTCTCTTTCAGACCAAGCTCGGCTCCGGCGGAAGAGCATCGCCACCGGGAAGCAGCCAAGCATGGAGATCCCACCCCCTGCCCCCCCACAACCCTTCCGACAATCCGTGAGTACCCCGCCGACCCGCCCCGGATCCCTGTCTCCCTCCCTCACCCTCTCGCTCCCATTTGCACCTCTGCCCCTGTCTCCCTCCACCGGCCTCTCCTCTTCACAGTCCCAGAAGAGAGTCAGCACCCCTCCGCTCCCCCGTTCCCTGCCGCTCTCCCCGAGTGTCTCTCTGACTCTCCCCCCCTCTGTCCCGCTCTCTCATTGGGCTGCTGGTGAGTGGAAGGTTGTGGGTTCTAATCCAGGGACCGGACCCAGTGTGGCGGCTCTGCCCTCTCTTGAGGTAGGTTATCTAACAGCCGAGGTTGGTTGTGATACTTTGCTCTGGCTCTCTCTTTCAGACCAAGCTCGGCTCCGGCGGAAGAGCATCGCCACCGGGAAGCAGCCAAGCATGGAGATCCCACCCACTGCCCCCCCACAACCCTTCCGACAATCCGTGAGTACCCCGCCGTTCCGTCCCCGATCCCTGTCTCCCTCCCCCTCCCTCTCGCTCCCATTCGCACCTCTGCCCCTGTCTCCCTCCACCGGCCTGTCCTCTTCACAGTCACAAAAGAGAGTCAGCACCCCTCCGCTCCCCCGTTCCCTCCCGCTCTCCCCGACCATCTCTCTGACTCTCCCTCCCTCAGTCCCGCTCTCTCATTGGGCTGCTGGTGAGTGGAAGGTTGTGGGTTCTAATCCATGGACTGGACCCAGTGTGGCGGCTCTGCCCTCTCTTGAGGTAGGTTATCTAACAGCCGAGCTCGGCTTGTGCTGTGGGTTCGAGCGGCCGGCGTGTTAGACAAACAGTTAGTCACGCAGGAAGCAAACATGTTCATCTCTTCCCAAGCCAATAATTGAGGCATTATGTCTGAGTTCATCAAATTTAACGGCCAATTTCTTGGCGATAAACTAGTGGAGACCTTTTTGCCTGTTTAATAATAGGATGAATGAGAAGACTTGTTAGTGTCCCGGTTTAAGTCAAGTGTTTCGGGGATTTGAGCGGCATGGAAAAAGGGACAGTTCACCCAAAAAATTAAAATTCTGTCATCATTTGCTCACCCTCAAGTTATTCCAAAACTGTATGACTTTCTTTCTTCTGTTGAACGTAAAAGAAGATATTTGGAAGAATGTTGGTAACCAAATAGTTGACGGTAGCCATTGACTTCCATTTTATTTGACAGAATTTTAATTTTTGGGTGAACTGTCCCTTTAAAACTGAAATGAAATAATGAAAATGTACAATTGTAGCTCTGCCAAAAAAAAGAATACAATATTGTTACTCTGCGATAAAATGAACATGAATACTTTTGTTTAGTGTCCCGGTTTAAATGAAATGCATTTTATCAGCATGAAAAGTAAACTGTAAACTGAAAAAAAAAATTAAATGTTTTTTTTTTTAGTGATAAACTAATGTAGACCTTTTTTTCTGTTTAAATTAGGATGAGCGTGATGACTTTTGTTTAGGTTTACTGTCCCTGTTTAATTTAAATGCTAAGGGATTGAATGTCATGAAAAATACTTAAAACTGAAAATAATACATATGAACCATTGCAACCATGATCAATTTTTCTAAAATAATTGTTTTGGACATGATTATTTATAACTGCCCATTTTACAGAAACAGTGGTTACTGCAAAAATATTAGAAATATAGGAAAATATATTATTTTCAAAGTTGTACTAAAACAAGGATTATTAGAGTATGTTTAACAAGAACTCTTTCTGCTCAAAACTTTCTCATTTACTGCAGTGTGTTACTAGTGGTTTCTCAGTATTTATTTGTGAATGTTTATTTGCAATTTCTGAGTGAAAATGATTGCAAATTAAATCCTACACCATTTTTTTCTCTCTCTGTGTAGTGAAAAATAAAAGCCAAACAAATCAATTCAAGGTATTATCTGTGAGTTAAAAAATTTAATTTTTAATTGCTGTATGGTTGCTTATTGGCCCTAGTCAAAAGAGTCCATCTGTGATTTTCTGCCTCTAGATATGACTCGAGTCTCTTATTCAGTGTTAGTTCATGAGATTTTTGACCAGTTTTTTGTCTGGTAGACAAAAATTGTAAAAAAATAAATACAACAAATAAATAAGTTGTCCTATTACTTAGCACCACAGCTCTCTTTAACATGGCACATGAATTGAGGCATCATTCATTTCTGTCGCTAAGTAAAAAAAATGCTTGTTGAAGTATGAGCAGTAGTAATATTGATGCTTACATTAGCAAACACTACTAAAAACTGTATTAACAGAACATTTTGGCAGAAACTCTGGTTGCTGTGGTACATTTTTTGGGAAGGTGATGTCAGCAAATTACTGCGATAGTAAAAGAGGTACGCCAATGACATGATACTGCAATACCGTAACGTTTTTTACATGCTTAATATTTGATTGGTAATCAGAATATAATTTTGTAAGTTAATATATGATATTAGAAAAGTGCATAAAGGCACTTTTTAAAGTCTATTTTTATTAAATTATTCTCACTTTCATGGATATAGAAGACCACAAAGAGTCTTAATATCAGTCCTTTCTGAAATTAATCTAAATTCTGCTTTAGAAACTCATTTAGGACTGCAGAAATCAAGCATAACGTTAGTTCTGGCAGGTCACGTTAGTCAAGCTCGCATCAGCTGACTTTCAGCTGATCCCCATCAACCTATGGGAATACGACACCTATCTAAGCATTCATATATAAGGTCCCTCAGTATTATCAGCAGTTTTCGCATTGCTCAATAGCTAATTACCCTCCTCCATCCCCAACTCCTCCTCTGTCAGTCAGGATTCAGCCTTCGGATTCTCCTTTGAATCAGACTAATTCAAAAATGTGTACATAACATTATTGAACTTTAACGATATCTGCAATACATTTATGTTGGTTCTGTTCTGTTTACCCTGGGGGGTTATTGCTGCTCTCCCTGCTCTCATCCATGAATCTCACAATTATATGTGACCCTGGAACACAAAACCAGTCTTAAGTGTCAATTTTTTCATCTGAAAGCTGAATAAATAAGCTTTCCTGTATGCGCAGGGAGTTCTTGCCCAGAACAGAACCATACCGTCAATCCAAACTGTATGCTAATTGTCAATCATCTTGACGATAGTGGTCCTGACAGAACTGACTGGAAATAATACTTCTTGCATGGCAGCAAAGTTTTTGGGTAGGTTTTAGGCTTTGGATCTGTGTAAATGAAATGCTGCTTTCCAAATGGGAGATTTTCCAAATATAATCTGAAGTTTCTTTGTGAGTGTAATACTGAGGGTTAGTAGTTTAAAATAAGCCTCCTAACCAGAACGTTTGAGAAATATCAATACACTGCTGCCTTGCAAAAACTATAATCATCACAGAGCAAATGAGTTTCACAGCTTCATCTGCTGTGTCTAAACATTCTTCTGTTGATGGGTTGTCTCTTTTCAGGTTGTATCTGAGATTGCACATTTTATGAAAGCATTACGAACTCAGTGAGATGATCCAACCTTTTTTTTTTTACTCTGCCGTGGCGTGAACCTCTTTCCTGCTGTTGCCAGTCTGTTCTTACTGTAGGCGTCAGGAAATATTCATGAAGCAACACTTCCCACTATTGGTTGAGTGTGGATAGTGCAACATTGCTGGAGTGTTTTGCCACCAGCAAAGGATTTCAGTCAGTTGCACCACAATTTTGCATCTGTTCATCTAATTAATGTTATAATTATGTATATTATTAATTTCATGGAACATGATCTTTACTTAATATCCTAATGATTTTTGGCATAAAATAAAAATCTATAATTTTGACCCATACAATGTATTTTTGGCTATTGCTACAAATATACCCCAGCGACTTAAGACTGGTTTTGTGCTCCAGGGTCACATATGTATAAAGTCTGTGTGTGTGTGTGTATGTATAAAACATTTGTACATTTTATATTAATCGCTCATCTCCATATAATTAGTAATAAAATAAAAAAAACTATATAAAACAAAAAAAATAAATACATATAAAACAGTTTTTTACACTTTACTCCATTTAGTCGTTTTATTATAATAATACATATTCTAAATATTTTATAATATTTTATAAATAATAGTTATAATAAATATTTTTATAAAACTGTTTTTAAAGTTTATTCCATTTTTTGTCTAATTTTTGTCATTATCACAAAGGCTTGGATAAAGATGAAGCATGTTTTTTTTTTCAATGTTAAAATACTTTATCTGTAAAGTATTTAACCTAACTTCCTGCACACTGTATGTTTTATAGTTAGTTTATAAAGTCATCATAAAGTGTAAAAAAAAAAAAAAAGGAATACTGCCTGTTTTTACATTTTCAAGTATCTGACTATGCAATCCAAATAATCCTTTCCTTAGGTTTGTGTTCTGTGGTCATGCATATTAATTCTGAGTCTGTTCTTTTTCTCAGAGTTTTCTCAGTAGAAGACTGAAGGGGTCCATTAAGCGGGCCAAGAGTCAGCCCAAACTGGACCGAACCAGCAGCTTCCGCCACATGATCCTCCCTCGTTTCCGCAGCGCCGACCAGGACCGGTACCGTCCAAACTCTTCCTCCCATAATGCCATGCTGAAACAGTGCCGTGTCAAGATATTCCACTTCAAAGCCTCTTTGGTACGGTGGCCGAGAGAGCTCAACACGCTGCAACTTAACAAAACACATGCAAATAGAAAAAGCGCCAGCAAATAAAGAAAACATCATCATCAACAGTTTGACAACACATGTGCTGCAAATACTCAAAATACAGAAACGCGCTACAAATACTCACAACACAACCAAATACAGAAACGTGCTGCAAATACGCATAATACAGAAAAACATTGCAAGTAGCACAGACCACAACAGAACCCTTACGAAAATTAACCATGGTTTTACTACAAATAAAACCAAATGGTTACTATTGGATTTAATTTAACCATGGATTCGCTACACGGTTATCATGTTTTTTTGGTGTATTGATTACCAAAGTTGTACAAATACCATGGTTAAACTATTGTTAGTGTAGCAAAACCATGAGCAATTTGTGGTTACCATGGTAACTATAGTAACCTTTCAGAGGAGACATTGATAAGCATGTCTCAGCCAGGTTCGTCACATTTCCGATGTGGTCTGTGAGTATTTGCAGCATGTGTGTTGTCAAACTGATGAAGATGTTTTCTTAAGTGGTTGGTGTTTTTTTTTTTCTATTTCCATTTGCAGCGCGTTGAGCTCTCTCGGCCACCATACTTTGGTGTGAATGAGTGTTATACAGTCAAAAAGGGACAGTTCGCCCAAAAATGAAAATTCTGTCATCATTTACTCACCCTCAAGTTGTTCCAGACCTGTACGAGTTGAACTTTTTTATGTTGACTATGGAAGTCAATGGCTACCGTTAACTGTTTGGCCACAAACATTCTTCAAAATATCTTCTTTTGTGTTCAACAGAAGGGAAATAACTCATACAGGTTTGAAACAACATGAGGGTCAGCCAAAGATGACAGAATGTTTATTATCCCTTTAAAGGGATAGTTCACTCACAAATATGCATGTGTTATTTTCTTTCTTCTGTGAAACACAAAATGAGATCCAAACTGCTATTTTTTTCAGTGGTTTGTGGTGAATTATACTGTCAAACTCCAAAAAAGCACCAGAAAAGCATCATAAAAAGAGTTCAAATGACTAGTGCATTGCATTATATGGTAAGGTAGAGAGAGAGAGAGAGAGAGAGAGAGAGAGAGTGAAGGAGTCGTTTTGTGTTTCATAAAAGAATTAAAATAGTGTCAGATTGGAATAAAATAGAGGTCAGCAAATCATGATTTTTGGATGAAATGCTCCGTTAAAGGCTGGTTTGCACTCCAGTTTAAATCTCTCAATCTGGAAAATTCCTTAATATCCTTCTTCAAGCATCCCGACAGGTGCTGAGGTGCTCTTGTCACGGTTTATTCATTCATTTATTCATGCTCAGAGCTCTATGCTCACCCACGGTCAGCCTGTGGTCTTCCAGAAAAAGGCAGGTCATGGTTTTTGAAGTTCTTTGCTCAGTTTGGACAGGGAAGTGCTCCACTGACGTTTGGTTTTTAAAGAGGATGTTTTCGCTGTGTTGTAGCTTTGAAATGAAGGCTGTGCTGCTGACTGTTTTGAGTAATTCAAACAGACAACTCCTCTTTCATATAATCGTTTGATTCAACCCTTAACTGGAATGGGAGTGAGCTGGATTGTGGTATGATGCACAAATGGAGTCTAACAGCTGGAGTGGCAGCGTGGGGGCAGAATTTCAGTGCTGTGAACCGAGTCTCAGCGAAAGGCTGCATTTCTTATGCTGTGTTTCATTTTAGGATGTACTGTAATTGTGATATAATCCACCTGAACTCAAAGAGAACTGATAGTCAGGATCCAGTCAAATTTGATATGCCAGCAATTATGCGTTGGAATTTTGTGTAGAAACCTCACTTATCTTTTGGATTTGACTGACCGCGTCCCAAAAGCTTGTTTGTGTAGATGTAAATGGGATAGTTCATCCAAATTCTGTTCCGAATGTCGTTCCAAGTACAAAATGAGGATCTTTGGAAAATGTCCAAATGGTTTTTTCCATACAAATGAAAGTTAATGGTGAATTATCCTGTCAGGCTGAATAAAATATAAAAATAAAACTCCATAAAAGTGGCTCATATGATAGCTCTGTGCGATGACCAGACTTTGTTCGTCTCAGTTGCTAAATACATAATAGCTTTCCAAGAAGAATAATCCCAGTTTCTTCTTCCTCTAGATGAGTCTCCTCACCTGCTCAAAAGCCAAACATAAAGGAGGATGGATGTTATGTTAAAAAATAAAATGTACAGTATGAGATAAAACATGTAAAATCGAAAGCACCCCGTTGATTAGTTTGCGGTTGTATTGCAAGATTGTTTCGATCACCTTAATGTTTAATTTTTTTTTTATGTTTGCAGTGTAATTAGACTGCCTTTTGAATGTTATTAAAAATACAAAAAATAAGAAATACATGAAAAATTTAAAATAAATATTCACTAAAAAGTAAAATGTTATCAAAATACACTGACAATCCACAAATAGAAGTGTTATTTTATACTCACCAAGGCTGTTTTGTTTGATCAAAAATACAGTAAAACAGTAATATTGTGATATAATAAATATTACAAAATACAATACATTTTACAGAAAATATTTTACAGAAAATAATTTTACAATACATATTGCAAAATACAAATAAATATTACAGAAAATAATTGTTTTGTTTTAAAATATATTTTATGTAATATATTTATTAGGGCAAAGCTGAATTTTCAGTCTTCAGTGTCACATGATCCTTCAGAAATCATTCTAATATGCTGATTTGCTGCTCATGAAACATTTCTTATTGTCATTGTTGAAAACAGTTGTACTGCTTAATATGTTTTGCACAAATCGTGCTACTTTTTATAATTCTTTGATAAATAGAAGATGCGTTTCAGCATTTCCAAGAAACTATACACTAAACACTAAGCTATTGATTCTTAGTGAATTCGCCCCAAATGTTCAATTGCTCATGATTTATCTCATGATTGGTGATAGAGGCTGATGTTGTTCTCCATAAATCACAGAGAAAGAACTTCCAAGGAAAGTCGACTTGTGTAATATCAAATGAAATACTGACCTCGTCATGTCGGTGTGTGATGTAAGCTCAACCTGTGAGCGTCTAGTTCAAAAGAACAACATTTATTTGAAATATAAATATTTTGTAACATTATAAATGACTGTCACTTTTAATCTTTTTAATGCATCTTTGCTGAATAAAAGTATCATCTTCCTTGTGTGTGTGTGTGTGTGTGTGTGAAAATGTATATAAATATAAATTATATTCATATAAATATATTTATATAAATTAAATTATATCAATTATTTAATTCAGCAGACAATTGATATATAGTGCATGAGTTCATGAGACTACTTTTATGATAATTTTTTGGTGCTTTAATATCATTTTTGTAGCTTGACAGCCCCTGCTTTCTTTGTATGGATAAAAGCTCCTTGGTCATCCTGCTAAACATCTTCTTTTGTGTTCCTTGAAACAGAACAGTCATTTTTCCATCTCTGTCCTGTTGTGCTCTTGTTACTGCTGCGTCTCAGTCCTTCATTCTGTCTGTCTGTCTGTCTTTGTCTTCCTCCTTTCAGTTCCCACAGTTTACGTAACATTTCAAATGAAATACTGACCTCGTCATGTCGGTGTGTGATGTAAGCTCAACCTGTGAGCGTCTTCTCTCTCAGACCTGCTGTTCTTGCTCCCTCACAGGACTCGTCTGATGCAGAGCTTCAAAGAATCACACTCCCATGAGTCTTTGCTGTCTCCCAGCAGCGCAGCCGAGGCCTTGGATCTGACACTTGATGAAGATGCGGTCATCAAGCCTGTTCACTCCAGTATACTCGGACAGGAGTACTGTTTTGAGGTGATCTAGAGCAAACTGTACACTTCAGACTCATAAGTTGCATGATCCTTACCGAATCTACCAGATGTTTATTAAATATTGCATTTTTTTATTATTTAGTACAGTTCTAATGGAGCAATTTCACATATTTAAATGTATTTCTACATCAATATTGTAATGCATTACTTTTAAAAGTAACTTTCCCCAACACTATATACTGTATATATTGCTCTATCATTCTATGAAATGAAGAACAACAATGAAATCTGTGAATGTTCTGTCAGTTTCACTTGGTGCCACTATTGACACAGAAATCACACATTTAATCTTAAAATCATCAAATGTGTGACTGTATTAACTCCAGTGCCCTGTGGAATTTTGTTGCTCTGTCTCATAATTACGCTGATGGTTGAAATAGTGAAACTCCTAATTCCTTTACTTAGGTGATAACTTCTTCAGGAACGAAGTGTTTTGCCTGTCGGTCGGCTGCGGAGCGAGACAAATGGATAGAGAATCTGCAGAGAGCTGTCAAACCAAACAAAGTGAGTGTAAAGAAGAAAAAGAAAAGAAGAGCTCTCAACTCTCTTTCCTCTTCTTCCATGACTGCATCAGTCTACTTCAGTAACAACCTCTCCTGTCATTTCCATCTTTACACTCATTTCACCCTCTACTGTTATACTTGTAGGATTCCTGAATGAACATGAAACAGCTTCCATGTGCTGTCCTGCCTCATAATGAAACAAATGCTTTCTTTTTTTAATCTGGTATACTCATATGTATCCCAAAGGCTGATACAGAATGCTGGATTCACCTGCAGATGTCTATTGGCTGTGTCTGTCGTGAGGGTTTTGAATGGGTGGGCTTTGAAAAGAGAGCGGTGTGGATTGACTCGTCCAGATGTTCAGGCAGCGGGAGTTTGGGCTGAATCGTGTTGTGTGGAGAACATGGGCACAGGCGTCCAAAAATGATCGGCCCGCTCAGTCTTGCAACAGATGCGTTGTCAATATTACAGTAAATGAGGACAGACCAAGGGTGTTCATTAGTTTATTAGCTGATTAGTTGAAGAAGTTTCTGAAGTGGTAGAAAAAGCCACAGATGTGCATCACTGATAAGTTCACAGCAAACCACTGAAGCACTCAATGACAAAAAACATGAGTTGAACATATGTTACCATGATAATATCATGATTTTGGACATGTACCATAGGAATACAGTGGGGTTTTACCATAGTTTCTTTGAGGTAGTCACAGATGGAGTCACAATCTGTTCACTGACCGTCAAAACTGGAAAGTACAACCGGAAAGCTCTAATCAGAATTAATACATAACTTTTGGGATTCAGGTTGCACAGGTTTTTACCAGTCCAACAGAAAACAAAGTTATGTTTATGAGTGCAATGTGAGCTTTGTGTGAATGTGTGAAATCATCACCATGTGTTCACTAATGTTTTGAAAGATTTTCAAAGTTTTAAGGTGCTCAGTAACAAGTAAATTAGATATCCACAATCAGAACAGTATACTTAATTTTATTTGTTGAATATTATAACTATATTATTAGTATTATAAGTCTATTATTAATAAATGAAGGGTTAATATAAATATAATAATATTTTTAATATAAAGTTAATTTAATAATAACAATAATAATTGCTATTTATTATTTTAGGATGGTCAGAACTTCAGATCATAAATAACTATAAATATTCTAAATATAAATATATTAATAATAAATCAAATCAAATTACCTTCACTGTCACATTTACATTTATAAATTTAGCTATATTTATTTATAATAAATGTATTAATGTCAGGAAAATGTCATATCTATTAACAATAACAATTATTACTATTATTATTATTATTATTATAGGATGGACAGAAATTTAATATATAAATTTAAATGATATAAATATATTTATAAAACACATTTTGTTCATAAAATAATAATAATTATTATTGCTATTTATTACTTTAGGATAGACATAAATTCAGATCATATATACATATTATTATTAATAATAATGTTTTGTAAATATAAATATATAAACATAAAATTTAATTTATATTAATAATGATAATAATAAATATTATAATTAGTTATTGAGTTGAATTGCTATTTATTGTTTTAGAATGTACAGATTTTTTTTTCATGACTGTAGCATGTTATCTTCACTTTATTTTTTTTAATAAAAGGACGGGAGCTTTGGAAATCTGTTTTTCAGGGTATATTTAGTGCATCTATGATTGCCAGTAGAAAGTAGCATTTTGATGGTTTTAATGACTCATCATTCTGTGAGACCACTCCGGCACTTTAGACACGCAGTAGGTGTTAGACTAACAGTAGTTCAGATCATTATCCTTTCTAAATCACTGCAGTCTCTCTTGTCTGTCCGCATGCTTGATGACACATTTGAAGTTCTGCAAACCCCCTCACCACCTCACCTACAGTTTATATGCTGCAAATATGATTGTGTTGGCATTACTGTCTCTGTTTCCCATACTCAGGACAACAGTCGACGCGTCGACAACGTTCTGAAGCTGTGGATCATCGAGGCCCGTGAACTCCCACCCAAAAAGCGCTATTATTGTGAACTGTGCTTGGATGACATGCTATACGCCCGCACCACCAGCAAACCCCGAACCGATACTGTCTTCTGGGGTGAGCACTTTGAGTTCAACAACCTGCCAGCTGTCCGCAACCTCCGCCTTCATCTTTACAAAGAGACAGACAAGAAAAGACGCAAGGTAAAGGACCACATCACACTCTTTATATATATATATATAAAATTAAAAATGTACATATAAAAATATGTATTTTAAAAATAAAATATATTTAAAAATTAAGTGATATATTTTATGCTAATATAAATGTAATTCTATATAATCAAAAGTGTATAGTAGCATAATATTAATAGTATTTTTATTAAATATTTTTTATAATATACAAATATATAATATTCAATATATATAATATTTGTGTATATATTCATTATTATGTGTGTGCATAATTTATGCATTAATAAATACATTATATATGATCATATAAATGACTCCCATACACTCAAAAACTTTTTTTTTTTTCTTTTTTTTTTTGCAAATAATGCTAGCAAATAATGCTTCAAGGCAATTGTCAATTAAAAATATAAACAAAGATGAGCCTTTGATATGTCTTACTCCAACTTCCTTTTTCAGCAGGAAATGCAAAACTCAAAGAAAATAAAAAGTACAAAATACAAAAGTGCACTTGTCAAGCAATTCAACAGTTTCTGACTTTGCTGCAATTGATTGTAGCTAAAGGACACTGGCATTTCATTAGCATCCTGCTATCTTAAGGTGAATGATCATCATTTGTTTCGTCAATTTCTTTGACCATAACAGGAGAAGAGCACATATCTGGGCTTGATCAGCATTCCCATTTCCAGCATCACTGGTCGTCAGTTTGTGGAGCAATGGTACCCCGTCATTCAGCCCAGTGTCCTGGCCAAGGGTGGTGGTGTTGGAGGGGGCAAAATCATCAACGCCTCCCTGCGGCTCAAGTCGCGCTTTCAGACCATGAGCATCCTGCCGATGGAGCTGTATAAAGAGTTCGCAGAGTATGTGACCAACAACTACCGTACGCTGTGCGCCGTTCTGGAGCCGCTGCTGAGTGTCAAGAGCAAAGAGGAAGTGGCCTGTGCTCTGGTGCACATCCTGCAGAGCACAGGGAAGGCCAAGGTATAACTTTGTTTGAATAATGTTTGTTGTAAGTAGGTTATTTACTATGTTCCAAAAACCTAGTGAGCTGCCTAATTAGACAGCATTTTAGAACATCGTATGTGTGCTCCTGACCCAAAATATTATGACAAAGACAATCCCAGAATGTATTGTGCTAAACTGAGTTAAGTAACTGGCAATTATATATGCTTTTGAAAAATTATTTTAATTAGCCAATTAGATGCTTTCCTCTCCATGTATAACATTTTACCATGTTAAATCCAAAAGTCAGAGAAAATTAGCAGAAGACTGCTAATGACCTTCTAATATTTGATTTAATAGTGACAATTATTGAAAATGGACTATTTTACTTAATATGTGTATATGTTGTTATTTTTATGTATGCATTTCTGGGAATGAAAATGTGTGTGTAATATTTTACCATGTTGAAAAAATCTGCGACTTAATGTAGACCTGCTAATATTTCATTAAATACTGAAAACTATTGGAAAAATAGTGTAATCTAATTAAAAATGGACTGTTTTATCTGATATTTGTGTATATGTATTTCTATGCATTTTAGAGAATCGAATTGTTAGTTCAAACATCAAACTCTGTGCAAGTGCGAATAAAATTAATTTTTCTTACAGTTTTAGTTTTAGTAATTTCAGTACTTCAACTTAAAATTTCGTATAATAGTTAACTTATTTCACTTAGTTGCCAAGGCAACATTTCTAAATTTCGTTTAACTTATACGTTTTTTATCTACTTTTTAGATTTGATTTCAGCTTTATTTCAATTACCAAAAACATTTTTTATAACAATAACAACATTGTTGCTGCCTTTGTAGGGCACTCCAAATCACTCACTTATTTGGTTCTATCACAATTAGGAGACTGCATATGTCGACAGTAGACAACAAGGCAACTCACTGAGTTTAATTATATGTAAGGTAATTGTGAAGTGATTACAGATGTCTCTTCTTTTGCTCTGCACAAGGATTTTCTTTCAGACATGGCGATGTGTGAGGTGGACCGTTTTATCGATCGAGAGCACCTGATCTTCAGAGAGAACACCCTGGCCACCAAAGCCATAGAAGAGTACCTCAAACTCATCGGACACAAGTACCTCAAAGACGTTTTAGGTGAGACTTCCTCACACTATCATTGTCTCAGTCGCTGTACGCTCACACATTAATGGTTTCATTTGGTTTCAGGTGATTTTATCCGAGCGCTGTATGAGTCAGAGGAGAACTGTGAAGTCGACCCAATGAGGACTCCACCTTCTGTGCTGCCCGAACATCAAGCCAACCTCCGGATGTGCTGTGAGCTCGCACTCTGCAAAATTGTCAACTCTCATTGGTTAGTTACAGTGCTGACATAGACCATCCTTTTATAGACCATTTATACAGTCTTCTCTCACTCTCACACACACACACACACATTAAAATGTTACAAAAGATTTCTATTTCAAATAAATGTTGTTCTTTTGAATGTTGTATTCATCGAAAAAGTATCACGGTGTATATTTAGATTTCTATTTCAAATAAATGTTGTTCTTTTGAATGTTGTATTCATCGAAAAAAGTATCATGGTGTATATTTCAGTGCACCACACCTTTTTTAAAACAGTTTGAGTGCCTAAACAACTGTTTAATGATAGCTATGATCTTCTTAACAATCTTTAAGATTGCATGATGAATGTTATATGAAACATATAGAGAAAACTGGTAATTGATAACAATTCACATTATCCTTCATCCTGAATTTCCAGCCTATATTTTAATATATTTTACATGAAGATGCAGTGAAAATATCACACTAACTGCTTAAATCTAAATGGAAATAATCTGCATTATTTGTTTTTCCCAGTGTGTTTTCAAGAGAACTAAAAGAGGTGTTTGCGTCCTGGCGTGTTCGATGTGCTGAGAGGGGAAGAGAAGACATTGCAGATCGACTGATCAGTGGTTCCCTCTTCCTGCGCTTCCTGTGTCCAGCCGTCATGTCGCCATCCTTATTCAACCTCACACAGGAGTACCCCGATGAGCAGACTTCACGCACACTCACCCTCATAGCCAAAGTTGTGCAGAACCTTGCAAACTTCTCAAAGTCAGTACACACTTCTTTAAGGTCTTTTAACTTTATTGCCATGTCATCATTTCCTGTTGCATTATGAGAGCACAGTAGCTTGCATTCATGCTGGTCTTTTCAGCAGGATAACCATTCTGATCGGGGATGCATGATATATTGGGATCATATTGGTTATCAACCAATATTTTATTTTATTTTATCATCTGATATTTATTTTGTTCATTCTCCTTTTCCCCATTCTGTTTCAAGATGCATAATATAATGGAACCAAACTGGTTATAAACTAATTTGATTTGGAATACATGATATGTTGATACTGGTTATCAACCACATATTTTTATTTTATTTCATTTGATTCTTTCATTTGAATACATGTACCGTCACACCCCTAATTTAGGCAAATAAAGATCATGGTTATCGTAACAGCCAGAATTTTAGTATCAGTGCATCCCTAATTGTGATCATGATATGTGACCCTGGACCACAAAACCAGTCTTTTAAGTGTCAATTTTTCAAAATTGAGATTTATACATCATCTGAAAGCTGAATAAATAAGCTTTCCATTGATGTATGGTTTGTTAGGATAGGACAATATTTGGTTCGAGAGACTACTATTTGAATATCTGGAATCTGAGGGTGCAAAAAATCTAAATATTGAGAAAATCACCT